TAGCCTTGCTGGGTGGGGAATCCTGGGAGTTGAAGTTCACCCATCAACGTTGCTAAGATTGAGGAACCCTGCTATAGAAAATCCTATGCATGTTTATAAGGGAACAAGCCCCACTGGCCACAACAGGATTTATCTCTGCCTAGACCAAGACTTGTGGGTCTGTGGCCTATAGAGTGGGAAGGTCTCCTCAACAGATCATGCTGGAACTATTATGCTGGCCAACTGGGAGAAGCTGCAGTTGTGCAGTGTTATTTTCAAGGATACTGTTTACTAGTTTAGCAATAAGCTGTACCAAACCACCTCTGTCTTTGGGATGTATAGTCCACAGGGTGGGGGAGCAGTGAGAAGACTCATGTCTCCAAGGCAGAAGTTGATTGATAAAGCTCTCTGCTGGGCTAGGAAGCACAGTATACTTCAAAGTGAAACATGTGGTCCTGCAGACTCAACTGGCTGGCCAGAACAATGTTTTCAACCATGCTGGGATGTGCAAGTGAGAAGGAAGAGGAAGAGTAATGAAGAGCCAGGTTAGCAAAGGGGGCATATATGAATCCAATTAGGAAGTTGTAGAAATGAAGTGGCAGATATAGCTGTAGTGGTGCCATGACTGCCATGTGGTCGAAAGTGGGAGAACAGCTGGGGGAATGGGCCTGAGAAGCCTCCAAAGATGATGTTGTTCAGGGGTCTTCAACCCCTGACTTAACATGCGTTATGAAAAAATAAGAGGCAGAAGCACACATAGACTAATAGTAAGGGGGAGTAGTAAAGTAGAAAAGTAGCAACAACTGAAATAATGAGTCAGTTTTAAAAATCCATGTAACAAATTCCAAAATTGCAGCAAATTCTGTCACCCCTAGTGGCCTTTCTCATATCATAGTTACAGTAATTTTGTAAGAAATATGTTGGACCAGATCTGTTTTATCTTGTACTTTGTTAATGAATGAACTCCTGCTCTGTTCCAGCCTGGTTCAGAAGTCCTAGGAAGTCAGTGTCAGCGGTGTGTATGCACAAGTCAACAAAACAACAGGACTCGTCTGAATATTATAGACTGTAAGCCTGTCCCATGTAACGTGCAGTGCCAGCCGGTAAGTAGCTCCACTTATGTAAGCAGACAAAGCAGTATGTGGCAGAACAAACAAGTAGACAAGCAGGATTGTGGAAGAACAGCTTCCTGAACCCTAGTGTGTCTGATTAGTGACACCAACAAGCTTGAGGACAAGACAGTCCCCACCATTAGTCAGAGTGAAGTAACCACTTCGGACAGTAGGAATGGTAGACTGAGAACAGCACTGAACATGTAGCAGAGCAGATCTCTTCACATCCAAGCTAGCATATTATCCCCAGATATATTGGAGGCTGTCTTTCTGCAGCCAATATTCAAGTAAGGTTAAATTTTTCAAAACAATCAGTTTATGTGTGGAACTGGGATGGGGAGGTTTCTCGTCCTTTGCCTCTAGCAGGAAAAGTATCTTGGGTCAACCCTGAAGTATAAAATATAATTAAGGGAGGGAAAAAAACCCAAGATGGAAAGAGAAAGCTAAAACAGTTCACAAAAGAGAATTGAACATCTTTGATAGGCCCCAAATGCTGAGGAGGAAGAAATAGGAATCTTGGGAGTAGGGTGATGGAATGGAGGATGGCAGGCAAGCAGATGTTGTATGAGAACCTCATCAATTGTACTATTGTGGTCACCTGGGATTACAGGAATTGCAGTCCAAAATATCTGGAATTATGGTGCTCAAATTAGGCAATAGCTGGTTCTAATAATAATTTGTCATGCTGGTAGAATCATAAAGGGGTTATTCTAGGCAAAACCTATGGCCACACTGGCTAGGGGTGATGAATAATAGGCTGAACTATCCTGACAATCAGTGCTGTTGCTTCTGAAGTGCCAATGGATGCATTAGGGGACAGACTGGCTCAGGGGTACTGTGCCTTCTTGACTACTTCTTTCACACAAGAACTAAGCAATGGGTTTGTCCTAGCAGAAGCTCCCTGCCATACTCAGCATTGCCTGGGACCTCAAACTGCCTTGCCAGGAACCCAGTCCCTTTGGCCACAATGCCTATCCACATGTATAGAAACTCTGGGCAGAACAGGAGTGTGTCGAAACACTGGGGCCTGCCTATCACTGCCCTGAAACAGAAATATCATCCCCATCATTCCATGCCCATCCTGTTGCCTGGCCTCTCATAGGCTGCCCTCCCCAATCAAGATTAGATAGGTCTTGCTGAAACCACCAGAGGTTCATATTAGCTTGATTACCTCAAAGCTCACTCCCAAGGCTGCAGCATCAAAGACAAGCCCAGCATTTACCTGGGCTTCCTTGGCCCAGATGGAAAGACCCCACACCACGCTAAACACCAGAGAGGTGCCCTTGTTGGAAAGAACCACATGTGGCATGGTATCCTCCTCTTGGAACAGGAGAATGAGTTGGCTGAAAATTTCACCCTTTGGAGAAAAATCTACCTAAGCAGGAGGTGCCTTCTGCTCTCAGAAGACCAGTTGCTGGGTTGCCTCCTTGATTGGCCCTGTATTTCTGCCTTTTATGGCAGCCTCCTTAGACAAAGATACTGAGAAAATGAATCTCTGCCTTCCTTCCAGGCCGGAGGGAGCTTGACCTGCTCTGGTTCTGCCACTCTTGAAGGCCCAGCAGAGCAACTGAACAACCAGTTTGCATTAATTAGATCATTCTGGCTAGATAACAGCCCCATCTGGAAGGACCAGATTGCCTACCCCAGAATAGAGTATTTTAGAAAGGAGTATGGCTGACTGTCTGGCATTCGAATAGGGATACTTGGTTCTGTTAAATATTTTTTAAAATCCTATTCATACATCACAGTTGTGTATCTCTTTCTCTGTAGGGATATTCTGCTATTCCACACCCTGGTGACTGCTGTCCAAAATGCGTGCAGACAAAATGTGTTATAAGAACAAGTGAAAATGACATTATCGTCTTGAGAGTAAGTTTATTTTTGTTGAGTATCTTCAGGTAGTAATGCTTCTCTTGGCATTGAAAATATTTGCTCCAAGGTGGAAAGCAGCTAATGTGAAAACAAAGAATTGGAAACTCATCACTGCACCACCACCCTCTCATGATTTTCCTTAATCCACTATCCTCACAATATCTAGGTGTCTGTGTGAAATTTCTCCAGGGGATGTGCATTCAGTTTAAGCAGAAATGAAAAAGAAAACCAATGCATTCCCATTCAGTTTACAGTTGTTATAATACAAAATGAATGCAAAAGTGATATAAGAAATGAATATGGGCATATTCATTTCCATTTTTTCCAATTTATTTTGTCTAGTCCACTATTATACATCAGGGGAATGATGTCCTGAGTGGGTTGTTCAGTTGTGCCTACAAGCATCAACAGAGTTAGTCTTGATGGAAATTGAAAGAAAAATAACAGGCTCAGGGCACACAAATCTCAATAAAATAAGGGTGAGGGAAAATCAGTAAATGTTAGGATGGAAGTAACACAAAATGAATGTGGTTTATAAAGCAAAAGTTGAAAAACTTCATTCCTTTGCATATTCTTAATTTCTCTAATTTTCTCTTTATTCCATCCTACTGCTACTGACAGGTCACACAAGCTTCCCTGTTTAGTCTCACCACAGAAGACCAGATAATTGCAGTTCACAACACTGCCTTTAATCTCTCTCTTACACAACTCTCTATAGTCTTCCTGGTCTCAACTACACATGGCACAATTGGTGTGGAAGGATTTATCTTTCTCCTCTAGAGTAAAAACATGCCAGATAATTTTCCTTAAGAGGATGCTTCCACTGAATGGCCACTCTGCTCTCTGGGAGAAGGAAGTCTTTTAACAACAGGAAGCTATTTAGTCCTGAACTTGTTTCCTTCTTTTGAACAGCCTGGTGAACAACGGAATGATCCAAAAGACAACTGCACTGTTTACAGCTGTGTGTTGATCAATAGGCAGCTGGTTTCCTCTACCTCTGAGATTACCTGCCCATCATTTAATGAGAAAAGATGCCAACCTGTGAGTTAAAAGCTGAACCTGCACATACAATGTTGTGAAAACACCTTGATTTGATTCGGAGTGGATAGGGTAGAAGCAAGAGCTGAATCAAGTAGATGTTGTGTGGGTTGCTGGAACAATGTAGCACTGAATAGTGAAAAACAAGCAAGCAAGCAAGAATGCTTCAAAACTGGAAAAGTTCATCATATAAGTACAATTGACTGTAAATTATTATTTATTATATTATTAATTCTAAAACTATTAATTATTTTTAAACATGTTTTACTCACACTATAGGTATCGTAGCTCAGCTGAGCCCATAAGGTGAAAGGCCAGAGGTTTCAAAGCTTCATTCCCAGAAGCCCTCTGATTCTCTGCCTTTCATGGAGTGCCTCACCTGGCATATTCCTCCTAGCCCAGTGTGTGAGATAGGGCCCTCACCACCTATATTGCCAGTGAAAAGGGAAAAATGAGGGGAAACAATGAAATAATTCTCCTAGAATTGCAGAATAAAGGTGTGTAATGAGAGGTTTCTGGCCTCCCTTTCCCTTCTGAGCCACAAATCATTCTCACAAGAGATAAGCAACATTGAAACTTTGTGGGGGTTTTTTTAAGAGGGAAACTATAAAAATCCTTTTAAACTTTAAATAGATGTGATGGTATGTGGAGACAGGAGGAAGACGCAGCCTAGTCAGTGGGTCTTCAAGGTCATTCCCACATACCATCACAATATTCAAAATAGTAACTTTCAGTGTTGATGATGTTGAAGGAAACAGATACAATCTGAGGGGGAAAATATCAACTGACAATCTAATATTATTACAAAAAGGATATTATTATTATTACTATTATTGTTTTTAAAAAAGATAATACTAGGACTTCTGGAACATTTCACCCTGATGTCATCTACTTCTGCCCTTCAAAAATGGTTTGTGACCTGTTCTGGTGACAGAGCAACTGGATAATGTGGATATGTTCTTAGACTGCAGGGCAGTCCCAGTAGGATCAATACAGAATAGAGAAATAAAAGGAAACGTTTGAATTTCCACTGCAGGCTTAATTCTTCCTTCAAAGAATTTACAGTATAATAGAATCTGCAGCATGCTCATGTTTGAAATTAGCATCTTTTCCCTGCTTGTTCTTCATCTAAGAAACAAGACAAAGGGAGAGGCTGTTCTCTTCCTCCCTATCTGTCCCTTGCAATATCTTATACTACAAATCCCTTCATTCCTAGGCAGCATGGTAGGTACTAGATTGCAGAACATCAGAGCAATCATTTCAGTACAATTTTGTAGTTCTAGGTGGTTATACATATTGTTGTTGTTATTTTTATTATTATTATTTTGTTTGTAGGGCACCATTACATACTTGCCTAGTGGCTGCTGTAAGACATGTAAGTATTATAAAACCATATATATTTCCATTCCAAAGAATTAGGCTGTACAGGTAGTCCTTGCTTAACGACTGTTCATTTAGCAACCATTCGAAGTTACGATGGCACCAAAAAGTGACCTACGACTGTTGCCCAAAGTTACGACCATTGCAACACCCCCATGGTCAAATGATTGCGATCCGGGTGCTTGGAAACCAGCTTGCACTTATTATGGTTGCAGTGTCCCAGGGTCACATGATTGCCATTTGCAACCTTCCCAGCTGGCTTCTGACAAGCAAAATCAATGGGGAACCATGTGATTCACTTAATGACCATGTGATTCACTTAACCATGTAATTCACTTAATGACTGCAGTGATTCACTTTATGACTGCTGCAGAAAAGGTCATAAAATTGGGTCTGGTCACATAATGATTTGCTTAACAACCATATCACTTAGCTACCTAAATTCCTGTCCCAACTGTGGTAGTTAAGCAAGGAATACTTGTATATGCTGAGGAAGTAGGGGGCAATTAAATTATATAAATTAATATTTATTTGAGATAGGCTCACAAACTTGCACTATATTGGACCACTGCTTTTCTATTGAAATTTGATGCTCAGCTTATATGTATTTGTTTGATTAATGAAACAAGTTTTAAAAAACCAGTTAACAAACATGAAAATATCCCTAGTTAAGGGGCTTGTGTTTGTGTGATTTAAAAAAAGTTTGGCTTTAGATAATAAAGGTTTAGAGCTTTGCTCCTAGGAATATGGTCCCTTCAAACAGACTAAATGTAAAGGTATTTGCAAATGTTGCAATACAGCATTCTCAATTGTTGGTGGGTTTATTAAGTATTTCCCTTAATTTTCCTTGATGTTTTGGGAGGGATGAAAAACCCACTGAAAATGTTGAGGAAACAGAAAGCATACCTGGTTTCTATTTCTGCAGGAACATGCCCGGAACATACCTCTCTTAATCTTAATTCAAGAAGCTATTATCTACCCATTGGATTATAGGATTGCAAAACCTGGCTGAGGAGATGGGATGGGTTCTTGTTTTAACAGAGTCAGACTATTTTTTCAGTGAGCTTGGTGACTTGACAGCAATTTATGGATGCTAGGCAAATGGTGCCCATTAATATAATGTTTATTTTAGTTGTTTTTGCAGCTGTTTTAGCTGTTTTTAGTGATACGGCATTTATGTTCAGATAATGCACAGGAAAATTCTCTCTTACTCTCTTTATATCTTTTTATATCTGCCCAATGTAAAACTAATGGAAACATCCCCATCTATGCTCTATTGACAAATTCTATGCAAAATCTAACTTTTAAAGACTCGCTAATTTCATTAGAAAGGTATTGATATTAGTTTAATTTTCCTGTCTAAATATCTGGTTTTGAGAATTTCACGTGTATGCTTTCCCATTCAGAGACACAACCAAATTATATTTAGCTAGGTATTATCTCGGACACAAATTTCTGAGAAAATTATTGCGTATACTCAGTACTTTATCCAGGAGAACAAAAAGCTTGAAGTTCATGCATGCATTTGAATGACAGCCTTTTTATCCTTCGTTTGATAGGTATAATCGTACCAGGCATCCCATCGTGCTCTCCCACTGAAACAATGGACTTTATCAATTATAATGGTTGTCGTTCAGAGGACCAAGTCCCAGTGACTCAGTGTGAGGGAAGATGTGGCACTTTCTCGCTGTACGTAAAATGCTGAAATCCACTGATATACTTGTGTGCAAGACAACTCCACATTTCTAACTTTGTTCAAAGTTGCTGTATTATCTTTCTTTGCTCCTAGGTGTGAAAGTGCATGCAATGATAGTGTTGCTTATTTGGGCAACAGGAGATTTTTGGAGAAATGAAGTAGAATAATGAATGGTTTCCCCATGGAGGAATGATGGGCAAATGGATTATAAGAGGCTTTATAGACAAATTCCTTTCTTATAAGTTGATTATGTGCAGTTGAAATGCTTGAAAGTATTCAGACTGAATTGCAGGGAATATGCTTTAGGTCTGCTGCCAAAACGGTATGATTTAGTTTTCCTTGGAAAAGCAAATTGGAGATATGGATTGTAGGAAAAGAAAGGAAAGAAAACAAAGATATTAAAAAAAAAAAGATTGGATGAAATTGAAGATGTTTGAACTAAGATCTTCCTCCAGAGAAGCAGTCTTAAGTATCACTGTCAATGTGGTATGTTACCACTACTATTACACCTATTCATCAACAGCTTGAATTATATTAATTATTTAATAATACAGACTATTTAAAGATTCCATCCTCTCATTGGACCTTCCAAGTTAAGGAGGAGAAATTTGGGAAGATTTACTAGAGGGGAATTCACAAGGCTTTGGGGTGAAGATGTCACTCAGGCAGATGCCTTCTCAGAGAAGATGTTTCTGCTGGAATTTCTCCATTTCCCTTTCCCTTCCTCAGTCTCTTGACCCAGCCTATCTATTCCGCAGAATCGCCTGCTATTTGAAGGGACATTTTCATGATGTCTTATTGTCCTAGGGAAAGAGAACAGATAGGGTAGTAATCTTCCATACACTCACTTCAGCAAGTGAATTTCTGGATCCAACCCTCTGTGGACATGTTTTCTGGTGATTTTTTTCTTTTTTTATGGTGTTGCAATTGATAAGAATATAATAAGGTAATCTTGCTGAGTAGACCAAATAGTGAATAGTGTTATATGTACAGAGGGACACTGTGTGAACCACCCTTTGTAACATTGCAGAAATCCTATATCCAACTTAGTAACATTGGAAAATATCCATAGTGGAGCAAAAGTTGAATCAATACAAATTTAGAATTGCAATTCTTTGTTTGTTTGTTTTTACCCTTGTTTATACAAGATTGGCTGTCTTTGTTAAATCTCCAAGAAATAGAGGTCGATTTTTTGTTGTCTATTTTTGGTCATGGGAAATTTTATAGGAATCTTGGCATGAGTTGTGAACATGCCTGTTACCAGATAATCTGAAGTAAAACTACAATGCATGCTGATGATCACTCAAAATAAGCAAACCTGACAATAAAAACCAAACAGAGCACAGTTAAGGAGGAATCTAAGAAGAACAATCATAACAATAGCCCTTATTAATGCTCAAAATGTTTTATATATTATATCGTCACCACTGAGTATTTATTTCCTTTACTAGGAAACAAACAAAATGCTATATATTAGACTGTGCAAGCTTTAAGGTTTTCTTCAGCTGAAGAGATTTTAGATCATTCTCTCTCTCTCTCTTTCTCTCTCTCTCTCGCTCTCTCTCTCTCTCCCTCCCTCCATCCCTCCCTCGGACCAGCATGACTACTTATATTACATATATTCATTTATAATCTTTAGAATATTCCAGGAAGGAATGGCTAATGTTCACCTAGTGAATTCATGGCAGAGGCACAATTCAATCTGTGAACTTTTTTTTAATTAGTAATTCAGTCTTTCAGCTGATTTTCCCCAAGCTCAGCCAGACTTGGATACTTTGATTCTTTTAATTCTCCTAAACAAAAATCCTAGCTTTGCTGTCTTTATTTTAAAAGATTGGGTGCCCATTATTTAAAGGGCATCTTGCCTTGGCTGGATATTATAGGAGGATAGAGCAGTTTAAGTTTCTAGCAAATAAACAGTGGAGATTTTTCTTTTCTTACGGTCGAGTTTCTGTAGTATTACCTCCCCAGTCCATAACAAAAGCACCATCTTTAGAATTACACCTAACATTAGTGCAATGTAACTCTTTCTTCATTTTGCATTATAAAAACAGATACTCTGCTGAAGCTAACTCAATGACACATAAGTGCAGCTGCTGCCGAGAGTCAAAGACAGCCCTGAAAGAAATCACGCTGCTGTGTCCTGGTGGGATCAGGAAGAAACACCAATACCTCCACGTGGAAAGCTGTGAGTGCCTGAACACTGAATGTGATGCTCAGCCAAGCTCATCCGAAGAGTCCAGCAAGAGCAAAGAAGGCAGCACGGAAAAGTCGCAGGAAGAGGAGGCAATGAAACGGGTCAGAAAAGCTCTGAAATCTCTCAGGGAGAGAGCTTAGAAGAAGGAAAACCTTTGAACGTAATGAGATAAACAATATGTTAAACACGGGGAAATACACTGTGACTATACATGCTATTATAATCCAACACTTTGCCTTATTTTCTACAGACCTTTCAATCTGTCCCCTCTTTGACTGTCCTTTGCTCTGCTCACTTATTTATTTGCATTAAAAAGAAAAAGAAAAATATTTTCCCTTATATATATATTAAAAAAATGAAGGATGTATGACTTGAACTTTTGAAGATGCTTCTTTTGCTTTAATTAATTAAAGGCACATTTCAAAAGCGAGGTCTCCATTTCTGGTTTTGTTGGCACATTTTTGAATTCTTAAATCTTGTGCTTCTACTCTTATAAAAATTATGCTTCAGAAGAAATGCTGCTGATCATCCAAGAGAAAGCCACTAACTTGCTGACTTTCCAGAGGAGTTCTGCTGGGTTTTGTTCCTCTGATATTTTCTCTCCTTCATGGTTTTATTAAAGCCCATTGTGTCATGAACACCTACATGCATATGGCACATAATTTTATCCAAGAATGTTTTTCTTCCATCTGATTGACTGCCTCCCAAATATGTGGCTTGTTGCAATCTCAGATGTTATGCCCAAGACTCAACTGCTCATCTTTCCTCCAAAACTAACTTCTTTTTGATTCCTGTATATCTGTTGAGAATTGCATTGACTGTGCTGCCAAAAAGAAAGAGCAATGCTGAAACCTCAGTAGAAAATATTGAAGAGAAAATAGAGAAAATGCACCTACCTTCAAAAGCATATATGTTAGTTCTAATTCCATGCAAATTTTCATCATAGATTTATGTGCAATCTGATTCTCAGAACACAGTTTCCCTCTAATCCCCCAAAAGTCAGGCCCTTCAAGAACATAACATACTGCAAAATATAGCCTTCATTTTACATATATAATGATAAACTGAAGGAGGGTGGGGAGAAGGATATCATATAGGACTTGGCACTTGGAGTACGAATTTAAAATCAGACACTGATGAAGGTAGTAGTAATGGACATTAAAGGAGAATGTTATGGAACTGAAGATGCCCAATATCTCAGTGCTAGGCATTTTGTTTAAACATACCCTTTGAAGTAGTTTCTCAAGCTAAGACTATCAAGTTTACATGTACTTTTGTATTGAGGGAGATGAAAATTAATTTTTAAACATTGGATATGTGTGTATGAAACCCCCGAATATACTCAATCTTATAGCCAAGATTGTATGAGACGATTAGATTTAGTTTTTCAAAGTAAGTTTAATAATTATTTTAAACCAAATAAAGATAAAAGGATCTTTAATTATCACAACTAGCTAGATTTTTTTTCATTTTGAAAGCAAAATTATATAGTATATTTGAAATTATAGTCTCAGATTTTTAAAAAAATACTGCATGTTGCAATTTTCATCAATACAGGGAAGTCTATGGATGTACAGATGAAAAGCTCTGTTTCATTTTTAATGGGACATACAGGAGATTGTGTCTTGTGTGTCACATACTTTTTTCAATGTACACCATACATTTAAATGGAATTATATTTTTAGCACTGCATATTTATTATAAACCAGTTTGGTACTGCTGCCAATTTTCTGTGAAAAGATTTGAAACTCACACTTTTCAAGCTGAACTGTATCGTGACTTGATAAAAGTTTGGGTTAATTTAACAAAACTTGCTTATTGATATTAGATGTTCTTGTTTTCTCCCAAGAATTTCATTCCAGTCACTACCTGATCTAAGGTGACCTAACTACTCATGACATCAGAACATCTAAATCAAAAGCCAACTAAGGTCTTTTACTGGTAGGACAGAGCCCATTGGGTGAAATATTGGAGATATTAAACTTCTCTCAGAAATACTTTGGGTTTACACACCCTAGCTCTATCCTGTCTTGATGATCAGCTTGGTAGTTCTCACTGTGCTTATTTTCTAGGAAATGTCTCATCTAGAGTCCTCCCCCTAACTCTAATGTGGAAGAGACATAGGATTCTCACACTTTTGTGTTACTTTCAAGGAATTCATCTATTGAGACCTAGGCAGCGTACCTTCTCTATTGTGATGCCAGCCCTCCCCCCAGTATCCCTGTTCTGGAGTTTGTCAAAAATGTGGCTCTGCTCCCATGCCTGAGGCTAGAATGGATGTTGAGCCTTTGTTAATTTTTGCTGGTTTGGGATATATTTGGTTGTTTTACAGATGTAAATGTTTTGTAAATGTAATGTAATGTAACAGATGTAAATGTTTTGTAGATGTGCATGTTTTTATTTGTTGGCTTTTTTTCTTTGTGTGTATTGTAAGCTGCCCCAAGTCTTTTGGGAGTTGGCCATCTCCCAATTGAATAAATAAATAACAGAGACAGAGAGAGAGAGAAAGAGAAAGAGAAAGAGAGAGGGGGGGAGGGAGGGGGAGAGAGAGAGAGAGAGAGAGAGAGAGAGAGAGAGA